CCTTAAACCCTTAGCCCCAAACCCTAAACCCTAAACCCCAAACCCTAAACCCCAACCCCAAACCCTGTAGGCCCAAAGTCCCTGGGCCCGAGGAGATCGAAGGGCTTCTGAAGGCTTGGCCCACAGACGTCGACTTCCGACAGGTGGCGAAGCACGAAGGGCCTACCGAGGACTTGAGTAAGAGGGCGTGTACCAAATAAACCGATACCCCCAGGGTGGAATCGGGGGTTTGGAGGTTCGGGTTTCGGTATCTGAGTTTTCGGGTTTTGAGCTTAGCATTTGGGGGTTTAGACTCTGGGTTCCGTGTTTGGGATGAAAGCCTTCCGGGTTCAAGGTGTTGGGCTGTGTTCGAAACGTTCCGAGAATCTCATTCGGGATGTTGGGGTTTGTAACTCTTTGGGCTCATGGGGGGGGTTTTAATAATTGGAATAGGGTTTGGAGTATATTATACTGTAATTATCATCAGGAACCCCCAAAACCCTATTCAAATTATTAAGGCCCCTACATTAGGGGTTGGGGCATCGGGGGTTAGTGATGAGGGTTGGGCTGGCAAGGCTTTCGGCTGCGGCCTGGCTTTTGCATGCCACTTCAGACTGTTCGTAGAACATACCCTAAACCCTAAACCCTAAACCCTAAACCCTAAACCCTAAACCCTAAACCCCAAATCAGTCAGGACCGAACCCTAAGGGTCCATGTGCCCAAATGTTATATACTTTGGCCTCAAAGTAGTCCCTATTTAGGTACTTTGTGGCCAAAGTATCCACTATTTGGGTACATGGACCCTTTAAGGGAATGGTACTTGTTTTATGGTGGGGACTCTTAAAAGCTCTTGCTTGGTATCAGCACAGCCACATGTCCACAGCCGCTTGAATGTCGTCGAGCCCAAGGAAGCAAACCCACTGCAAATCTGTAGGGTCTTTACAGTTCAACCGGTCTTCCTACTTACTTGGAGGTTCATGGGAAGTTCTAATTGGGGTTATAAGTCCCCTAACCTGGGTTGTAATTATAGTTGCCCTACTTAGAACCCATTTATAACTACCCATGAACCTCCAAGCAAAGTAGTTAACTTTATGTGTGCGGAGCCAGGGTTTAGGGTTTAGGGGGATCTATGTCTACAGACCCGATTCTAGTCGTGAAGCCCCGGCCCAATTTTAGATGCCTATCCCTGCACCCTAAGCCCTAAACCCTACTTGGTAGAGCCCTCTTCAAGATCCCTTGAAAGACCCATGACATGATCGCAATTCCACTTTATAGGGCCCCTTTCTTATACCGCCTCTGACCTCACCTACGACGGAGTGCGGCCCTTTGGGGCTTGGAGGTTAGGGTTTAGGGTTTGTGTACGGATTTATAAAGGGTGTTGAGCCTAGGGGTTGAGCGTTGATGGTTTAGGGTACGTCTACCCGGCTAGAATGCGAATCTAATGACCCTAGCTTCAACTATGGAAGCCCTTGTGGATCTCAGGACACATAACCTAACCCAAAGGGTCCATGTACCCAAATAGTATGTACATTGGCCCTAAAGTACCTATATAGGGACTACATTAATAAGGCCAAAGTATATACTATTTGGGTACATGGACCCTTAGGGTAAACCATAGTTAAGACCCAAACCCGAAGTCCTCATTAGGCCCGGGTGTTTTGGGTTTAGGGGTCCGGCTAAAGGCTTCAGTCGTAGGGGCGTCCCCTGATCAAAGCTACAAAACTCTTCAACGAATCCTGATATGCCCGACAAGCCCTCTGAAACCCTTGGAACAAAAAGGGGCCCGTATCCCTAATTAAAAAGACCTTGTAACATCCATATAAGACCTTGAAGTTACTAAGCTCCGCAGCCCCGAGGAGCTGCGCGACGTGGAGCAGTGCATTCGCCAGGTCGCTTCGGTCCCCCGCAGTGAGGCCGGATGTCTACGGGCTTTGTAGGTGATGATGCATATGGGTGGTTGTCAAAATTAAGGTCCCTTTTTGGGTCCTTATTATAATACGACACCTATTATTTAGGGTACCCCAAAAGGGACCATCATTTTGACAACTACCCATATGTCCCGCGTTGTTTTTCAAGCAGGGCTTTCAGGTGTGACAAAAGTGTGTGCGTGTGTGCGCGCGCGTGTTTTTGTGTTAACCTGGGTTTCATAGGTTGCTATGCGGTGTTCACAGAGTGCTGTATAGTGCTTTTTCATAAGGTTTTCATCGGGTTTTTACATGGTGTGGATGGTGGCTAAACCCTAAACCCTAAACCCTAAACCATTGAAAGCTTCAGGTTTCAACTTCACGGTACAGTAGCATTGAGGGCTAAGGTTGAAATCTTCAGTTTTTTTTGCAGAGTACTGAGTAAGTAAAAACGCTGTTAGTAAAGCAGCCATTAATAAAGCTGACATCATAGTGGACTTGAAATAAAGATTTTCCGTAACGTAGGTGTGCCATTGGCTCTTTGAATCGAGGCACCTTGGTTGGAATTTTCTGTGCTACTCCAGGGCCAAAGTAATTCCTGCACCCCATTCCTAAAACATGCGATCCGAAAACCATGCAGCCAGCACGACAACCCTGAACCTTCTGAGTTGCTGCAAGAATCGAACTAGATCCCCAAACTCTACACTGCAGAAGCACATCCTGATCACAGAAGTTCAGTCCAAACAGAGACTACGTCTTCGCATCACGGGTTGCAACTATCTAGTATCAGGGAGCTTTAAGTGGCCATCGACTCTGGCTACTTGTGTCTTTTGAGTTGAGTTCTACCATGAGCCCCAGAAGCCCTTGCAAAGCCGGGATCCCTGAACCCCAGACAGCCCTAGACCCGAATTTCACAAATCCTACCCTAAACCCTAAACCCTAAACCCTAAATCCTAGCTAGACTCTTCAAGTAAATAAAGCCTAGGCTCGAAATTCCCAGATCCTGCACCCCAAGAGTCTCCAAAAACGAACTTCAAAACCCCAAACGGAAGTGCCAACGCCCATAAGGCCTTATACCATAACATCCTTCGAGACCAGAGCCCCCCACATTGCAGCACCCCTGAAAATTACCCCTGGTAGAACCCTGGAAGGAGCCCGAAAAGCCTTCAAAACCCTAAGAAGGTTACTTCCCTCGGCTCCCCCCACTTAAATTAAAGGAACGCTTTTCGGGTGCCCTGACAGTGGCGACTAAACCCTAAATCCCTCAAAGAAACCCTACGGGAAGCCCTTATACAAAAAACCGTTAAACCCTAAACCCTAAATTCTAGACCCTTAAACCCTAAGCCCTAAACCTACTGAGGGCCTGCTGACATGTGCAGGCTCAATCATGAGCAAGCTTCTGCAGTGAGACAAAGGGGGCTAGTGCACTTAAAGAAAACACCTAAACCCTAAACCCCAAACTCTAAACCCTAAGCCCTAAACCCTAAAACCCACGATTCATCTGCAAGAAACGGACTCGAGGCTCGACTGAAGCTCCTCCGGCTCTCCAGATCTCTCGTGGCTGGGACAGTGGTTTAGGGTTTAGGGTTTAGGGGTTTAGGGGTTTAGGGTTTAGGGTTTAGGGCCAGGGGTTTAGGGTTTAGGGGTTTAGGGTTTTGGGGTTTAGGGTTTGGGGGTTTAGGGTTCAGGGTGTAAAGTTTAGGGTTTATCCCATTTCACCGAGCAGGCGCCTCTTCGCCGCCTTCCCCCGTGC